CACCACAAAGCATAATTTACCAGAGTCAGCTCTTATCTTCCCCGGTCTCAACAAAAAAATACCATATACTGTAAGCTTCAAAGAGGAATTATTCATTGCAGGACTTTTGAATTGCATTGCACAGCTACCTGTGATACTGTGTCCTCCTCTTGTTGATTAATTAGACATGGAAGGTCTTGTGTGAGTTGTGTGCTCTGTTTGCTTCCTTGCATTTCACTTGTTTCATCATGTATTACAGCACTTCATTTTGCCATGTGAATGATTATGATTAGAGAGATTTAGATAGGTTCGCACTTTCTCCCCGTATAGTCCGTCGAGACACACTTGTGATGAAGGGTTCTATAAATAAATGAGCTTGAACTTAATGTGATTTTCATCTCATAATCCCTGTGTCCACATCTCAGCTACTTACCTTAATATGAGGGCTTATTTAAAAGTACAAATATTCAAAACACTTCAGCGCAGAGTCAAAAAAAAAAATCTAATCAGAATCTTTGCCCTTCAGCTGTTGGCAGTGAAGACTTGTAATATAACTTGAAACCATGTTTTTTAACAAGGTGCAGTGATAGAAGCCGGAGACAGGAAGCACTACTGAAAACTTCATCCCTCTGATTCTTATATAAATGTTTCAGGTGTGTTAATAAATTGTAAGCACAAACAGCACATATGTTGCAGTTCTGCATGTATCAACACCAGGTTATGAGAAGGTTTCGGTAATGTGACTTTATGAAAATAGTTTACTTTCATTTATCCGCTGGTTGAATGTCAGACTTAAAATATTTTGTTCTCGATAAAAAAAAGAAAAGAAAAACTCTAAGGTTGTAAATCATGCAGCATACAAAAGGGACTGGTGTATAGGGTTTTAAAAAATCACATTTATGAATTTATTTCAGTCTCATGTTCAATCATCAGCAGTGTGCACCATATACATGAATTAACTGAACGTGATCCTGTCTCGGGGGAAATTTCCTTTTTCCTGTTGGTCCCTCGCCCACAGAGAGTTCAGAGTTAAGGAGCACTCACCCACTCCATATGAAGGGTGATTTGTGTCAGCCATTTCTAGCATTTAATGGGGGGGGGTCTTTTCCAAAACCTTTTTATCAATGTGCACAAAATTTTTATGAACAAAAATCACTATAACTCAAAGGCATCATGTCAGAAGAGGTTTAAGACGTAAAATTAATCACAATTATTTATTTACTTTTCTGTGCTGTTAAGGTCTAATACGTACATGTCGAGTGTGTGGTTTGCTGATTAATGGTCGCTGTCTCCACAGCTGAGGAAGTCAGCGTGCTAGTGTCTTTGTCGCTGGGACCTCGCTGTAATGATTATAGGATAACCTCTTGCACGAAGTAATTAATCAGTCCGGAAGAAGCCCATTCGCTCAGACTAAATGTGACAGCTGCTTGGCTGGGTGGATGACTCACTGGGAGGATCATAGGTCCCTAATACCAACCTCAAAGGGTCCATGAGGCTGGCTCCAATTCAAAGGAAAGAAATCAATAAAGGTTGCAGGTCTGATACCTGCAGGTGTTTGTGGCTTGTCAGTTAAAAGCGTACACAGCTTTGAGGTCGTCTTCATGACAACATTTTGTGTTTGACATCCAGTGGTTGTACTTACAAGGACACATTTTGTTCTTCACGGAGGAGAGGTCAAAAATATAAAATGAAACCGGAGCTCAAACTCAACGGTGAGATTCATACATCATGGTGTAGACCTACTGCTCTGTTAGTTAGAAAACAAGCTAATCTTTGAATCTGCCCTTCACTGGGACTGTTTGGTGACGTAGCTGAGATTTTTCTCATTAAAATTTCAATCTGCTTTAATTGTATTCATCTCTACACTGTGCACATTTCGCAGTCTGATAAGCATCACTCAGTGGAAGAAATTATTCCAAGATTTGATTAGAATAATTAGATGTTTCTCAGATTTCAGTGAAATATTTCTCCCTCACTCATATCAAAAGTCTATTTTAGGTGATCTCAAAGTTGGAATACAGTCCACAAAGACCTACTGAGTGAGGACAAAATATCGACTTCATGACAGAAGTGAAAAGAAAAACACGCAGACTCCAGGGATGAAACTATTATTTTTACCATCACATAATTGGTAGATCATTGTCTAGAGCTGAAACAGTCAGTCAATTAATCATTTTGTTGTTTGACAGAAAATGAATCAGCGGCTACTTTGATAATTGATTAATCATTTTCAAGGAAAAATGACAAATGTTATCTTGTCCCAGTGGCTTAAATGTTTGGATCCAGTGTTTTACTTTGGTTTATATCATTGTAAACTCAAAGTATTTCTGTTTTGGATAGTTGGTTGCACTGAAAACATTTAAAGACGTCGCCTTAACCTTTGACAAAGAGCGATGGGCATTTTGTTTTTACCATTTTCTGACTTTTTATAGACCAAACTAACAGATTTATCCAGAAAATAACTTGTCAGACTAATCCATAATGAAAATTATTGTTAATTATTTCAAAGCCCAAACTCATAGTCTTCAAATTTCTTGCCTTATCCAGCCAGAGATATTCAATTGTCGTTGCCAAAAGAGGATTCATTTTGTGCTGATCGACTAATCAATTACGCCTAATTGATCATTTCAGATCTACAAGGCATACATGATTGTAAATCATATTCTACACAGTCAACACTTTAAATTTATATTCCATAATGGACCTTCAGGAGAGAACCGTTTGCACCTCGGGGCATAAAATCCCACAAATAATTTATTGACTGTCAGCAGATTCTCTTGGGTTAGGATGAGAGATTAAATGAACAGAAAAAGTGAGAAAATGCTTTTTCATCACGTCCATGTAACTAGCAAACAGAAAAAAACACTTCACATATTGCAAAGCAGAACAAAAAGCTTTTTTCACTCTAGCAGGTGTGTTAGCTGAGATGAATGGGCAGCATGTTCCTGCATTGATCATCCCACAGCCATAAATGGCTTCTGCTGAGCAGACAGCGCAGAGGGGGTGGTCTGCCGTTACATCTGGATTATAGAAGGAAGAGCAAACAAAGCAATGCTGATGGACTTTGACTGACAAAATGAATTAGAGCCAATTATTGATACCCTCACGTGTTTCTAATGTGTAGTCATGTGCATTGGAGTTGAGGAGAATCTTTTCTTTATCGAAGGGCAACTTATTTCCAGCTGTCTCTCTACCATCCACAGTAATTGGAGGTATACGATAGCAGCCGGCCACAAAGGAGACGATTCAAATGCAGTTTGCTCTGAAAAGCCAGTGACTGTGAATATTGTTGCAAACAAAGAAGTTTGAACTTTTCTTTTCCAAATCATGCTTTGCAAACATGTTGCATTCATCCAGAAAAAAAATGTGGGAAATCGAGTGTCAATAATGCTGTTTATTCCATTTGAAAAACATAATTCATACATTATATTGATGTAACATTTATTTTCTTTTGTTTCTGACTATAATACTTTCACTCCGGCAGCCTGTTGTACCAGCCGTCTGGCAGGCTGGATGACAAAGACTGTTTTTAGCAAGGATGATATTGGAAAATACTGTCAAAACACAATCAAGACCTTTAGGACAAATATAGCAGAAGACCTGACATTGATTCAGATACTGCAGTTTTCATCTGCATTTAGAGGATCCTCAGTGACAGAAAGCTGCAAGATGTCCTCAAAGAAGAAAATGATTTGATGTTCTTAAAGAGTAGGAGGATGACTTGCAAGAAATGACAAGTCACCCAGCCTCAGATACACATAGAAAAGGGGGGGGAAATAAATAAACACAAAATCCAGAGAGTCTGCTGCACTCCTGCAGATGGGAGAATTATTGCATAGTATCTCGAGAGCGAACACGGGCAAAAACCCACTACACGATGGCATTTTGAGTTTTTTCTTTCTGCTGTGCCATTTAATGAGCTCCATTCTTCTCCTGGGCAGCACAAATAACAAGAACTGAGACCAGAACCATTCATAAAATTCTCGTATACTCTGGGACTGATACTTACAGTTTGGTAAGGGGGGGGGGGGGGGGGGGGGTGCCAAATTGCTTCAGGAGGTTAAACTGCTGCTCTTCAAGATCAGTTTGTCTGCAGTATTTTCCCTTGAAGCAGATCTGCTGTAGCCTAATTAGTCTGCCTAGTATCTTTTCCTGCTCTGGTCTAATTACAGAAACACATGGGATGAGAACAGCCTTTTCTCTGCATCCGGTGTGTCTCACAGTGAGCTGGACCAAAGCCAGGACCTATTAAACATGACCCCCCCCCCCCCCCAGCCCCCCCGCCCCCACCCCGCCACACCTTGATTTCTCCCGGAGTCCCGCTGTCTCTATCTCGTGGTTTGATCCAGTATTGCAGCAGGTAGCTTACTCTTTCATGTTAGATCTCATGGCAATATAACTCCAAAAGTGCTTTCTAGTCGTGCTCGGAAGGATGAAAAAAAAAAAAAATAAAAGTCTCAGAGATCCTGCGCTTCAGCCGGATGTGTCTCACTGCTCAGGGATGGAAAGCAAACATCAAATGTGCACTGTTCGGGTTGTTGTGGCGCAAATGTCTCGTCGTTTGGAGAGAAATAGGTTATAATACTTTGTGTCCTGGTCTTATGGAAATGGTCCGGTCAGATCCACTTTCACAGTGAATCAGTGCGCAGCAGGGACGCGTGCAGCAGGGAGGCTGTCAGTCCTCACCATCCCTCCCATTGGCTGCAGCAGGATGCTCGGCGTCTCTCCTGTTTCCTTGATCCTCAAATGCAGCTGGAGCCGACGCAGGTTTTGCCACGGAGCGGGAGAGGGAACCTTCACCTGTAGATATTTGACATTAACCGGTGTTTCACCGTCTCCGAAAAACCACAAGCCACTTCTGAAGTAAAGGCTGGGCGCATCGGATATTGCATCGCTGCACAGTCTCTGGAAATAACTTCATTATTCCAGTTTTTTTTTTTTTTTTTTTTGCGGGCGACTGTCGCCCTGTCCTCCGGTATAACGGGTATAGTGCAGGCTGTAGTGTATGGAGGGATGTTGGCATGGCTTGCACCAGGAGAACCAAAACTTTGGTGTCCACATGCGTGATCCTGAGCGGCATGACCAACATTGTTTGCCTGCTCTATGTCGGATGGGTAACTAATTACATCGCCAATATTTACATCAAAGTCCCGATGCCTTTACCGGAGAGAAAGTTAGAGGGTGACAAAAGAGGCGACACTCTCCGGATCATGCAGAGGCTGGATCGGCTGGAGAATGTGGTCAACCAGCACATACAAGGTAAAGCCTCTGGTAGAAAACTGCACTCTCTGCATTACTTTACATTATCTGTGCTCCAGCATGAGAAAGTTTCACTGTGTTTATACCTTTTACTTCAAAGTGTGAATTCACAGCGTGTGTGTGTGTGTGTGTGTGTGTGTGTGTGTGTGTGTGTGTGTGTGTGCGTGCCTGTGGTCTGGAGAGGGATAGAGCAGGAACTTCTTTTGTGTGTTAAAGATCAGGTTATTTGGAGGGTGTGATAGAGGACAAAACGTCCTCAGTACAGAAAGGCTGCAACCTAACACATCTGAGAATGACACCTCACATACAAGAGATTAATAATTAATTATAAGTAGGCTGCAATATAATAATATTATATTACATTTCTTCCTCAAACGGAAGAAAGCAGGTCAGATAAATTTAGGCTGAGAAGAATTTATATACAACATTTATGTCATGATTTACAGCGACAGACTCTGCCTCTCCTTCATTAGTCGGCTATACCAGTGCCTTTTGTTAAGGTTAATGCGAATGTTCAGGTTCTGCTGAAACCAGCTGCTCATTCTGTAGAAAAGTGCTCCTCATATCTTGTACTGCACTCCACCTGAAAATGTGGCGTGAAGCAGCATTATGCATCCTTACTGAGAGCCATAATCCAATAAAGTGCTCAAGATTCCATGCAGCAGTAAGAGTTTCATACCTCCCTCAGTAACTTCTTACCTCATCTGAATGAACTGGGATTATAAATGGAACTGTTAAAAAGAAATTCTCCGCACCTTGTTTAGCCCACATCATTCGACTTGAACTTGCTCTTTTACTTTTAGGAATGTCTGGAATCCCTTTCTTCTCAAATTCCTTCAAGCCTTTTCCTCCACTCCTGGTGTACAGTTTCTTTACGCTTGATCACACACAGTTAATTTGATTCCACTCTTGTGTCTTTAGAGGAGCTATTCTTGTCATCACATGAGGGCTCATTTTGGGCAGGTCCCAAAATGGCACAGAGCTGGTGCAAAAAAAAAAAAAAGAATTGAAATGCAGACAGAAATCTATGCATGCTTCTTTTTGAGCAATAAGGCTCTGTGCTGAGCTGGGTTAAAAATTCCTCCAGGAGGCAGGTCTCTATTTCACCTTGGTGCCCATAGGCATCTATGGGGAGGAACTTTATATTTGTCAGCGTGGTCAGGGAACATTTCTACAGGGATTTTTCCACTTTAGCGAAACTAAAACTAAAAAAAGACACTTTCAATTTATAGCTTATACGTTGAATAGCTTGTTTTGTCCATGGTCTCTAGAATCTGTAGGCTAACGTGTGTGTTTTTGGCGGTTTTAAGGAATAGTTCCACATTTTGGGAAATACACTTACAGTGGGGTCCAAAAGTCTTAAAAACAACTCAAACATTTGGACCCCACTGCATTTGTTTCCTTGCTCTAAGTTAGACGAGAAGATCGAAAACAGGGGTAAACAGCTAGCCTGGCTCTGTCTGAAGTTATGGCACCTGCCCAGAAACGGTTCCACACACAACCCTAGCTTCATATTTGCCATAAACACATGACAGTGGCGTCAGTCTTCTCCTCTTAACTCTCCACCAGAAAGAGCATAAGCGTATTTCCCCCAAATGTTGAACTCTTCCTTTAAAAACTAACCGTGGCTCATTGTCTTTTTATGCCACTTTTAAAACTAGGACACTCATTCTGTAATTAGTTTTTAAAAAGTCCTGCATATCAAACATTTTCACCCATTCTCTCGTGAGCTCAAACACTGTCAGCCAGCATCATTAGCGGCTGCTTTGGGTGTTTGCACTCATTTCAGTTTACGAACCTGTTTCCAGGCCCCAGACGTGAACTGCAGGGACGTGACAGAGATCACATTAATACCAACAGTAAGACCCTGTGCGTGTCATTGTGGAGGTTTGGAGCGCAGCGTTGTTGTTGACAACAGAATCTGGTGGGGATAATGCCGCAGGAGATTGTTGATGCCGTATAAGTGCACATTGGCGACAATAAAAACTCTTGCAATAAAATGACCTGTCACTTTAAATACGGGCCACATTGTCTGGATTTCCCTGATAATTGCTCTGAATTTATTCGCTACAAATAAAAGCCCGTAATCTTGAGTCTGTGAGTGGCTGAAGGCATCAACAGTCAGCAAGCTTCAGGCAGAGCCAGAGATTCATTAGTGCACTTTTGACATCTCTAAAAATACATTTCCTTCCCATATAGTGTTGTAAGACAAGTGCAGAAATTGTAGGCTGTGTTGTGATTCTTGCATCCTCCAGTTCAGTACTGTCCTGGTCACACAGTCACGCACTCTACATGATGCACTTAGTTTTAGTGCTCCGGAGGCCAGTGTGAGCTCCCAGAGCAACACTGCATGTGAGAATGAAACATTTACTGCAGCTGAATCACTGTGGACAGTCGAGAGGGATGTCTCTGGTGTCATCTTCACACTCATGGAAATATTCCACTACTGTAACTGTGAGATGGAGTGAAGTGGCCTGTTACCAGGACAGAGCAACATGGCAACAGCACGTAAAGCGGCTGAAGTCTTTCTTGTATTAAGTACAGTCAGCCGAAGAGAATTTATTGGATAGTTGGACAGAGCAGGTTCACACATGCTCACCATGAGGGCTGTTTGTTACACTCACTGCTTTATGCTACCAAAAAAAAAAAAAAAAAAATCAGGGAGGAATTTAGCAGCTGCTTGTTATTGAACTAGAGACAGTCTGCAGAAGACTTTGGCAGGTTATACCTCAGTATATTTATGATGTGGTAGGAAAATAATAATTGGAGTACTTTATGTTTGTTTACTTGTTACTCTAATTCAATCATTTTTATGCTTTTGTGCAGCAAGGTTACTGTGCATATGTTTACATCCTTTTGAATATTTCTATTTCTTTACGGAGGTATACAGTATATAATCAGATTTCCACATATAGCTATGATTGTTTTTTGCTTTGCTATCAACAGTTTCTCCTGTTCACTGTGTGGCTGTTCGTTGACCTGGGTGAGCAGCTGCATACAATTACCCTTGCACGGATAAATAAGTTTAAGCAGTGTTCAATTAAACGAGTAGATGGTTTTATAATGTGTTGATCATGCTGTTGATTTTGTCTATGAAATGCTGGCACACACAATTTCTCAAAGCTCACGGTCATCTCTTCTAATTGTCATGTTTTTTGTCTAGAGATATTCAATTTGCTCTCACACATGACAAAGAAAAACATTATCAAAACAGATGATTCATTTTATTTCCATAGACTAATCCATTAAGTTAGTTAGTGATTTACTAATAATTGCAGCTTTTTGATTGAATTCAATTAAATACAGTCAATGCCTCAGTTGAATAGTTCGGGTTTAAAAGGTGATTTATTTTTTATGTTGACAAACTAAAACAATCAAAACTTTATGTGGATACTGATACTGTCGATGCAGAGTTTGTATTGTTAGAAAATCTGTAGTCTGAGCAAGCAGTGTCCGATATATGTACATGACGGTGTTTTAACAAAGGCCTGTTTTAATAGCATGGTGTTCGTGAAAAGGCAGCTTAGTTCATGGTTTGCTTTGACCTCTGAGGATGTGCATTACCAGCGTGTTGTCTGATTGAGGCCTGCGAGAGCTAGTCATTAACACAGCGCTGATCTAGCTGCAAATGATAGTGACAGTTCCCAAGATGGCTTCAAGCAAATCCACCCGTCAAGTCAATTGAGAAGCTCAAGTAAATCAGCGCTTCTGCTGATGCTCAGAGGACAGTTATATTTGGGTATTTATCTGATGTGATTTTCCAGAGTGACAATGAATGCAGCAGAATAAATGAATGATGGAGAGAAATGGGAGAGGGGTGGAAGCACGTGTATATATGGATGTGTGCTGGTGTTTGTGTGCATGCTTGTGCTTGCAGGTTATGGAATGCAGCTCAGGAAAATACAAGTTACACTCGTACATACAGTACTTCCAGCTTCTTTGTCCTCAGTCCTCTGGGAGGAAAAACTGACAAAATACTGTTTTCAGACAGTGTTAAAGGAACGCAGCCTTGTTTCTTACAGAATAAATAATCTTTTCTTAATGAAAAATAAAAAACCTATTTACTAAAGTTTTGAATGATAATATAACACTCTTTTAGATATAAAATGCATGAATAGGTGTCATAAAGGTATGAAAAAAGTATTAAATGCAGTACAAATTATCAAGGTGTAAGTGCATATTGATGCTGCTGCAGAAATTGGGGAACATTTCTCCTTTTAAAATGGGCTTAATTTGCAGAGACCTCACTTCCAGTGATGATTGTGCTGTTTCAATCTGTCGTGTAACTTCCTCTGCAAAAATAAATTCATTTGGCAACTGTGAGAGCTCGTTACCTCAGCAGGTAGGAGATTGCAACAAACCACAGAATTGCTGCTGCCATGGTGAAGGCAGCTTTTTTTTTTCTTACTTTCTTCTTATAGAGGCAGGTAGTAGATTTATTTATAGAAGGTGATGATGATGATTTTGTAGTATTTTGCGTATTTTAGGTGTAATAGATGATGACTGTTATGTGTCGACAGGGAACAGTGGCAGAGGACTAGTGGTTCATGAAGTGAGTGGCTAATCAAGGTGGATGAGGGGCAGGTGTGCTGGCAGGTGATGCTCAGGTGATGGCAGAAACAGCTGAGGGCGGTTGCTGGGTGGAGAGAGGCAGCGACCGGGCAGGTTACAGCTGAATGGAAAGAGGGATGGGCGGAAAAGTGCAAAAGTATGTTGAGATGAAGATTTCGCTGTGACAATTAGAAGACATTCTTTGGATATAGTTGACTAATACACAATATTTAGTTATGAACTACTGTCAAGTAATCATTTCCTACATATACATTTCATTAGGTACACCTGTAAAATCGAATTAAATCCAATACAACAGCTCAGCCATAAATTCTACTTTTACACAGATAATAATGCTCAGTCTTAATTAACACTGTGAGAAAGGTATTAATTTAACTATATGTTTATTATTGAGCTTTCCGTTTGTTTGTCCCACTCAATTTCCAAAC